TTTAAGGGGTGAAATATAATCCTGAACAGAGGCTCTATTTACCACTTAAGCCCTATTTTATGGTTTAAGTGCTGACCTTGCACTGACCCTCAGTACTGGGCTGAATTTCACCCTGCAGCAAAAAATCTGCTGGCTGGAGCAGTGGATTAAAGAAATTGGGGCTAGACTTTTTACTATTTGCAAGACAATGAAAACAGGCTTATTTTAGACAAAAATGTTTCTGATTTATGAGAATTTTAGTGCAAAAAGGGGCTATTTTGGAGAAAGTCTTGAGATTAGACTTTCAGTTATATTTTTGGCAAGAGAGCAAGGAAGCCATTTCATTAACTTTTCACTGGAAGTTATATATGGAGGGCATTTGTGTACACAGCTGGGCAGCATAAAACAGGAGGGCTTTGTGTGAAAATATCCTGAAATGAAATTTCATTTCTGTGTGACTTGGATCTGCGTTCCTGGGCTGCCGTGGCCAGTTTGGGATGAAACCATGGGAGGGCAGTGTGAGGCCCTCAAACGTTTTTTTTTTTTCCCCCTTGTGTTTGCAATGGATGCAGAAATAGTGAACAGACCACTGTGGTCCCTGTGCAAAATCAGTGTCACCTTTTATAGCTTTATGTCCGTCAGATAAGCTCCTGCCTGCTCCCACGTTCCCATCTGGCTGCAATCACCGAGTGATACCGAGAGATTTGTTTGCAAGGAGCTCCAAAAGCCACATGCTGAGGCTGGTGTGAATTTAGCTCTGTTTTGACTTCCCTCCTTTCCCAGCAGACGGCTGCTGATCTGGTCCTAAATCACTGCCATGGTGCAAGGAGCCACGGACTCCTATGGAAAAAGCAGGGCTGTGCTGTTTTGGGTGAGGTGGGACCATCCCAGAGTCATTCCTGGAGTGCTGCTCATCCTTGAGTGCTGCCTGTCTAAAGGCATGCCTTGTGTAGCTTCCAGATCTTACAGGACCCTCTAATGTTGGTTTAGGGGCCCAGAGATTCTTGTTTGGGGTGTGAAGATCTGCTTGTTGCTCATTGAATCATAGAATGGTTTGGGTTGGAAGGGACCTCTAAGGTGATCCAGTTCCATCCCCTGCCATGGGCAGGGACATATGTCACTATCCCAGATTGCTCCAAGCTCCATAAAACCCAGCCTTGGACACTTCCAGGGAAGGGGCTGCCACAGCTGCTCTGGGCACACTGTGCCGCGGCCTCACCACCCTCGCGGGGAAGAATTTCTTCCTAACATCTAATTTCAATCTCTCCTTTTTATTTTATTTTATTTTTAATTTTTAAAAAACTTCCCACTTTTTCTGTCACTCTCTCTCCATGGAATATTATGAGTGCATCAAGCAGGTGGGGATGCAAGGCCTTGCAGAGGACATTTCTCAAATATTATCTTCAAGTTATATTGGCTGTTCTTTATTTATATGTGTCATATTCTAGGCATTCATGTTATTTTGTGCATGTCAGGATAAAATGTGCATAAGTGGGGAGAGCACATGCACTGAGGATTCCTGCTCCAGTTTTCCATGGCAGATAAATTTTGAGGTGCCTCTTTGCTAATGAACCCATGTTTCACTCTGCCCTGATGTTTTGTAGGCACTGACTTGGGGATCTCTGTATCTCCATCCAAAACCAACTCCCATCACCAGCAACTCCCCTTTTCCTCCCATGGGAAGAAGAAAGCACCAATATCCATCTCCCCTCCTACAGAAAATAGGAGTCATTGTCTGGTTTTGCTGCTATATCCCAGGCTTTCCTTGGGTTGGTTCACATCAGTGTTGAGGTCACAGCTGCCTTTTCTCTGTGCTCATTCATTCAGATTCTGCTTGATTTGCATGTGATGGTCTGATGCATACCCTCCAGATGCAGGGTTTCTCATCTGTTGTGTGATCTTTAGAAATAAATAGTCCTGAAGAATATTCCATACTATCAGAAAACATTTCTGGTGTATATATTCCTTACCCTGAGACATCTTGGAATAGGACTGTAAACATTTCACCATCCTTGCTCTCACTTTCATCCCTGGAAGTCTTTCATGCTATCCACATCTAGACTTCAATGCTAAATGCCTCAAGAGATAGAGATGTTTTGGGACTTTTTAAAGTCTAAGCTAACCTAGAAAACACATTTAACACTCTTCTCCCCGATTTACATTTTGATTACTATTTAATTATGATTCTACATTCTGCAGGTACTGTAGAGGACCCTTCACCAGTAAAAGGCTTGTAGTACAAGGAAAAAAAGAAAAGGAAAGGATAAATTTGTCATTGTCCTTTAAAAAAATACAGACCAAGGCCATAATTATGACTTCCCAGACTGTGCTGACTTGTGCAGCATTTTTGTCCCTGTGTCATCTTTAACTGCCATCAGTTTCTTGGTGCACCCCTGGCAGGGGTGTGAGGGCACATCTGTGAGGGAAAATGACTTATTTAGAGGCAGATCTGAACTGTTTGTATTCTTCCTGCTGATAAGATACAAGCCTAGGTGTCCAGCCTACTGTTTTTCTGTAATACTTCTGACAAGACTGGTTTGGTTTCTGTTTTGCTTTGGGGAAGTTCTCCCTCAGAACAAGGCTTTGATTTCTGCTCTTAGAGAGTTCATGACAGAAGTAAATTATCTTGTTCCAAGAAAAAGTAGAAGATAAATAACTGGCAGCCAGATCAAAATCCCTCTGCCCTGATTAAACAGTTTCTAATGCTGAAAGACGACAAAAATGTATAGATACCTTATTTTGCCATTGACCCACTGTACAACCAGTCCATGAGCTTTAACTTTGCAAAGCATTAGGAAAAACTGAAGTCTAGGAAAGACAGTAAAACCACAGCCTAGTTGTTTATTTCTGATACTATGTGGTTCATGATTGTTTCTTTTAGAAGGAACAAATAATCAATACAAAACCATGAATAAAAATAACTTTTCTTTAACACTGGATGCTAAAAGAACATATAGTCTTCTTACTGTGCCTGATGGAAACAGTACAAGTCTGTTCTCCACAATTCTTTGTTTATTGGAATGCCTGAAATCTATACATGAGGTATTTTTAAAACATTTAAACATAGAAGTTAAGCTTCTGCTCCAGACAATTTGTTTCACCATATTCTAAAATCCCAGTGCATACCACAGAAGTGCTTGAAGCAAAGAAACAACGACAATTTTTTTTAAAAACAAACTTCAATTTAAGATAAAATAATTTCCATATTCTTATTTCAAGGAAAACTTGCTTTCCTCATGAGACATGTTCAGTTATTGACTCAACTGCTGCAGGAGATGTTCAAGGCCCAAATCTGCTTGGTGGCACTTTGGAAAGGAGAAGTGCCAATAGTCAACACTTGGCTCTTTCTGAGAGATTGCAGCTCTTCCAAGCACAGAACAATCGAAATGTTGCTAATGATACTGAAATTCTGCATAGAGTCTCTGCATAGGAACTGGAGGAATCAAACCTTGTGAAGTAGCCTAGCTAAGTGAAATGAGCTCAGGTAGCGTGCAGCTGTGAGGGATGCACCTGGCTCCTGGAGGAGCTCTGGACCAGAGGTTAAATCACAATATGGGACTCTGAGGGCCCTGCCATCACTCTTACCCTGTTCAGAGACGTGGTAAAATCCTTTGGACTTTTACATCCCTTTGTAGAGTTACAGATCTCTTGTGTTTTACTCTCTAGTGATGGAATAAATACTCAGTTCAGTTGCATGTTTGCTGTTTGCTCACTCAGATTTATCTCTCTCTGGGACACTCAAACTGCAAAGTTTCTGCTTGCTGAGTTGTTGTTGAAGTTAACTGGCCCCTTGCAAGCAGAGGACTTTGCATGTCCAGCCAAGCCAAGTCTGCAGGCTGGTCAGTGAGCCCTGCGGTCACTGAGCCCTGCTGCAGTGGGAGCTTTTCATTCTGTGCAAGTGCTGCAAAAACATGGAAGGCTGCAAGGCAGGGGCATTAATTCAAGCCTGCTTTGCTGCAAACACTTTTGCAACTAAAAAATCTAATGTACATCCAATGACACGAGCTTAAAATAGTGATGCACATCTTACAGGTGACATAACAGTGGCTATAAATGTGCCTTTTGCCCAATACTCCCATAGTTGGCCTTTTCAAAATATGAGGTCACTTGTTGAGTCTTCCCAAAATTGTTTTTTTAGGATTAGAATGCAACTGTTCTCATTAAAAAGCATAATTTGCACCCAGCCATGGACATTTAAATTTTATCTTGTGCATCTTGAAAGCTTGCTCTTGGAACTTCTATTTAATTCAAATCCTACTTGCCTGCAATAAAGGGATTCTGCTATGACCAACAAATTTGCATGAAGATGTAATAAGCTATGTTCTAACTTAGCAAATCAAATTTTTTCAGCAAGAAATCTATCCTAAGAAGATTCCTTCTTTATGGGTAGAAACAATAAGGAAATCTTCGCAATTTTTTCTTTTTTCTTTTAAAAAGAGCTTAAAAACAGAACGTAGTATTTGAAGTACTGTATGTTGCAAATTAGGTACTTTACACCATTTCTTTTTCATCCTTTTAAACCTGAAAGGTTCCCATGCTTGGCTTTTATGACTTGTCTACATTTGAAGGTCTATGTTTCTGTACATACAAAGCGCTTATTCTAAGATAAGACACTGCCAAATCTGAAGATTCAGGGTTGATCTTTACTCATGTTTGAGAAAATAATTATTAATAATAACTAATAATATTAATCTAATTCAGTAACAGTTTTAGTTACTAAAAACTTGTCATCAGAAGTAAGATGATCATCCATACTTATAGGTCAGGTCAAATGAAACTTTCCCAGGAATGCAAGGACATTAGAAAAATGAGATTTAAGGTTACTTCAAAATTTGATAATTTAGGCCTTTCTGTACAAAAGAAATTGTCTGTGCATATTGAGCAGAAGTCAAGCTATGGAATTTTTATGGTAGAAATTTCAGGCCCTATTCAAGCCCATAGGCTATTTTCTGCCTTTTTTTTGTAAGAAAAAGAGAAATGTCTGAACACAAACCAGTAACTAATAACTCAAAGTAACTTACCTTTTTTCAGCCAAGAAATATTTTGCTTTTCATGTTCAAAACTTTCAGCTGCTTTGATTTTTACCTTGTCTGTCTTGTCCTCTGACATCTGTGGGAGAGAAAAGAATTTGAGGATGTCAAGTTCTTGTAAAGAAAGTTTGACAGAGAAAGATGTTCTCTGTTTAGGTTCCTGCCATAATAAATTGTGCATACTTACACAGACACTTTTTTCCCCTGCAGATTATTGATACTACATAATATCTGAGCCGTTGAATTTATGTTCTGTCCCTAAATGCTTTATCAATATTACATGGTTGCTGTTTGCAGAGGGATGCTTTTGTAATGTAACTATAAATTACATTATGAAATAAATTATAAGCTCAAAGCATGGTGGTAATAGATAAACACATAACGCACAGAATAGGTACAGTCAGGCTGGGGAGGAGGCATCCAGGCTGCCTGTTCATTGTGGCTCAAAGTTGCTGTAAAGCCCGCTGTCAGAGAGCTATAATTATATAAATAGTAATAAATATTTATAAAGGCGACTTGAACAAAGTGTACCCCCCAAACAATAAAACCTTTACTGCCACTTGCACCAATTTATTTGCTGCAGAATCCCGAACAAGTCCCGGTACCTGAGGGCATTACATGCCCAGCCCCTGCACTATGCCTTGTGCTAGGAATAAGATTAGGCAGCCTGGGCTTCTCCTAACTGCAGCCAGTGAAATAGAAGGCAGCAATCTCAAGCATTTCTGGTTTTACCTGTCTCTCCCACCCGGGCACAGAGCAGCAGGGTTCAGGCGCCGAGCAGAGCAGCCTTTGGCCGGATCCCTGGCTGGCTGTTGGTGTCCAGCATCCCCACACACAGCAAAGCGAAAGGATGAGCAGTGCACTCCCTGCCTGCCTGCTGTGTGGTGCCAGATTTGTCTGGCTGCCAGCATCAGCCAACTTACTGCTGAGGGTTTGGGGCTTTTTCTCTCTCTCTCCCCCCACCACCCTCGTTGTTGTTTGCATTCACTTCCAGAGCTGGGGAGGGAAGGAGGAGGGTAATGAGTATCCCAGCAGTATTGGAGCGATTTAAAGAAAAATATCGGAAGCTTTTCAAATAGGAAAAAATTGGCTTGGAAATGTTATTACTGCAGTTCATAACCCAGTGAATCTGTGAGAGGAGGAAGAAAATAGAAAGGGAACCAGGAAATTAATAGCAACAAATCAGATAAATGTGCCATGGTTTGGGCTAAATATAAGTTGAGATACTGAAGGATATAGAAATTAGACACTAAATATCTATTTTCAGCTGTCACTTTGGCAGAGGAATGGTCTCAGCCCGTGGGGAGCTGAGTGTTGTGACCCTCCCAGCTCAGCCCTTCCCTCTGGTTCCATGGGGCTGAGTGGTCCCTGATGGGGACAGCACAAGGCTGGGTGGGTTTGGCACCAACACAGGGCCAGGGGACCACCTCAGTGGGCTGTGCCACACCTGGAAGGCACCACAAAGTTCAGTTTGTTAGTTGGTTCAAAAAATTCTCTTGCCACAGTTACAAGCAATATTGCTCTACTGGTAGTAAGAGTAGGATGAAGCCTAAAGAGAACAAGATTTTTGGGTGCTTAGGCATTTAATCTTTTCATATAGGACAAAAAAAGTCGCTCTGCTTCCCAGAACTGAGTTTTGAAAGGGTTGGTTGTGGAGTACATGCAGAATTACTCATTTATCATAGTTTTTAAGTGATATTTACAAAATTTCAAGCAACATTTGTCACCAGATACTATAATCCAGGATTCCAGTGCTTAAGTGTGGCCAATAAATAATAACACATTCCCTTTGTTATGACAATTATCTTCCTGTATTCTCCCATCACATGTCATTCTGGCTAGAAAAAAAAGTTTTCTTTCTTTTTTTAAAAAATCTCCTGCACCAACCTGAGATTCTTCTACCATCTTTAGCTAATTGTGAACTACATGCTAAGGGCCTACTTACCTCTCCAAATTGCAATGATTAGTCTTGCATGGTTTGAAAACCTATTTTAAACAGGGTACTTCAAAAAAATTGCAACCATGGTGGGGGAAAACTCTAGGGATAGTATTTTAAGATCTTTGTTCCATTCTCCTTGGATGCAGCTTTGGGAATGATGTATTTTCAATTGCAGTTCCTCATTCTCCTAGAAGCACCTATTTTCCCATGTTATTGCATTGCAATGTTTTAAGTTTACCAGTGGTGCTGGTTCTTCAGCTGGATTTGCCAGCCTGTGGAGCTCCTGGTGGGCCCTAATAAAATCATCTGGGCTCCACGCAGAGCAGTCTGAACCTCTCTAATTGTAGTTTGGATCTGGTGCTACTCTGCATTTCAGAAGCCACTGTTTAAAATGAAGATACGGGTGGTTTCCAAACTAAACTAGAGTGAGAGTTCCCTAGTTCATCTGGCACATCCTCGCTGTTTTTCTGGAGGTTTTAACAAAATCCTAATGCCTCTCCCAAAGAAAGTAAAACAGATGAGGAGAAAGCCCTTGTAAAACCACAGACCTGAAAACTGCTGTGGCTTGAGATAACAGCCCCTGAAGTCTTGTCCTTCTGGGGTTTTGCCACTTAAATTCTCTTTGAAGGCAGCAGGAGCCAGGACTGAGCCTGGACTGAGCCTCCAGCATGAGAGCAGCCAGTGGTGCTTGAAGACAGCTGAATGTATCCCCCAAACCTTGACAAATACCAATTTGTCAACACCAAGCCAACACAGACAACACTTTCCATTGGGTTTTATCCATTTTTATTTGAGCATTAACCAAGGTAATGCAGATTTGTGCTCTGAGATGTTCTCTTCACCTGCTGCCCTGAGATGCCCTGCAGGACCCCCAAGTGTTGGTAGCTTGCAAACTTACAGAAGTTACTGAACATGAAATAACCCACCAGTCAGTTAGGAAAACATTAAATAACTTTCTTACTCTTTGTACTCTCCATTACTGATATTCAATTAATGGTCCTGATGTTTTTCAGTCCAGGAATATTAAATGTAACCTTTCATGATCTTGATCAGCTCCAGTTTTCTACTGAGACATGTTCCTGTGGGCTATTTTTTGCTTCATTTAATTAAGTTATTTTGGATAAATGCATCAATATTTCTGTTTCCTAATCAATCTTAAAGTAGTTAGAGGAAAGGCAACCTTGCCATACATCCTCAGTAATGCCAGGTTTTGCAAAGGAGGAAAAAAACATTATGAGAGAAGGTTATTAAAATATTGAGTAAACTTGTTTCTGTTAAAGCTGTAATTGAATTTTTAAAGCCCTGGCCGATTTTAAACACCGAACTTTAGTTTATGGTTTGATAATTCATTTCACTTTCGTTTTTATAGGTTTTATTTTATAGCTACTAAATATCTATGGGCCATCCCATGTTCATTTTCCTTCCTGCTTGTGAAATAGGGTATTTAAATGGAGGATTAAAAATAAAAATCATAATGCCAAAATAGATGTGGTACCAGTTTCCAGATAAATGTACTGTATCAAGCGCTTGTTGAGATTCAAGAGTATATTTTTCTGATTTGCTCAACTGGGTCTGCAGTCAAGTCTTTGAGGAGTTGGAGAATAGGAAACTTTAGTTGGTTGTAATAACCATCAAAACAGAAGAAAAATCTCATTGTTGGTTCTAGCAAACATCAAAACTGTTAAAGTTAAGATCAGGGTCCAGTACTGGATCCTGTCCTGAGTACAAGGGAGGATGTGTGGCCATAGTGAGGAGAGTTTTTGGTTACATCTATGAGTACAGCATTTAAAATATTTAATTTCACTACTGAAATTACTTTTTACTGGAGAATATGAACTGTGTGGCTAAAAGTTGAATTTTCCAGAGTGAATTTTACACAGCGCAGCATTAAATTAAGCAGTTACTTCTTGCACAATCCAGGTAAAATACAGCCACTTGTCCACTGGCAAGTGGCGCTCTGTAGCTTTGGAATACCCCACACTGCAGTAAATGTGGTTTATTAAAAAAAAGGTATGATGAAACTATGTCTTTGCTCCCTTTTACACCCTGGGGTGATCATTTCCAATAATAAAGTGAGTATAATGTGATGTGCCCTGTCAAAGTTAAGGAATCTCCTCTTGATCACGCATCTGTAGGTAGAATATTAAGTTGTGGGAACACGATATACAGCCAAATTATCCTGGTGATTTCATGTAAAATGCATGGTTTTTTAGCCGAACCATCATGTCCTGTGAGGGCTTCAAATGCAAAACAGGCTGTTTGGAGAGCCCACCTCAAACTGGCACTGACAAATGATCTATATGCTGCAGAGACCCAGAGCAGTACAAAGATAAGATTTTCCTCCTCATCACTCTGCCTTGTAGACACTCTAGGTAATTTCTCAGTAATTCTGTGTCCTGCAAGAGGAGACACAGGGCTTTATTTCACTTTTCCACTCGGTGCCACTGCAGGTCAGTGAAAGTCTGGGATTGAGTTCAGGCTGGAGGATGGAATAAAACCTTGGAAAGAGTTGCAAAGGCAGGTTAGTACAGAGGTCACTCATAACATGCAGAAAGCCCAAATGAGTGAAATTAAGAACGGTCCATATTTCCACTGAGCAGTAAAGAAAAGAGAGAGACTGCACATTTTTAATTGCCCAGGAGGGCAGGGAGGTTACTTGGTGTCTGTGCGAAAAAGTGACAATTGGGACACTGCTGGGAAAAGAGGATGAAGCTCCAGTGTGAAATAAATGTGAGGATGAGTGTGATTCTAGGATGGGGAAGGCAGAGAGACCCAGGCTCTAGCCCTGGAGCCATAACCTGCCATCCTAGCATCCATCCCTGCTACAGGAGACTTCTGGAAAAATAATTGGAAGCTTCTGGGGCATCACAGCAAAAATTGGGACAGACTTCTTATGATGAGATGGAAAATAAGCAGAACAATTGCTGCTGTATAAGTGAGACAGGAATGTGACCATCTCAGGGAGGTGTAGCCTTTGGCAACCAGCAGTAGCTACAGGACTTTTATGGGAGTGTACAGGTGAAAAATAAAGGTAATGTCTTCATTGAAACAATTCTTTGCTGCTGTTTAGGAGCTGGATATCTTGGATTATTGCCACACCAGTAGCTGAATATTTTTACAATCACTTTCTTATTTGGTTCAATTCAGGATTTTCCTGCCAATGCTCAGACACGCTGTCCTTGAAGTCCAGTGAAGACAGTCAGGCACATGCCCTTTCCAGACAGTTCAATGCTTTTCAATCCTGATAACAAATACATAAACTTCTCATGATTTCTATTCCAACTCTTCCTTCACTGTAGATTTAACCCTTGACTCTTATCCTTTCTGAAATGCTCATGCAAAGCTGAGTTTCCTGTCCCTTTTCATCTGCTATAAGAACTTTTGCAGGAATGTCATCACACGTTCCCTCAGTTTTTATCAATACTTATATTTAGATCCCATTCTTTAGCCTGTGATCATGACTTTTGCTGGTGCCACCTTTCTGGTAATGAGGTGTCCAAAAGGTGGTGATGTTCCTCCTAAGGCCTTGCCCACATGGGACAGAGCAGTGAGATTACTGGTACATTTAACAGGCTTTCTTCCTGTTTGCACATCCCAGAGTGTTTGATTTTCATGACAACCTGAAGTTGTTGACTTCTGTTTGTTTTATAATCCATGCTGTTCCCCAGACTCTGCTCTGCAGCACAGCAATGTAACCAGTTGTTTTCCTTTTTGATGCTGCTGTTTTCACCTACCTAAGCATAGGATTGTGCAGCAGTGCTTCCAGAATGCCACCCTAATCTTCTTCACTTTGTTTTTCCTGGTTTGTGAAGGTCATTTTGAACTCTCATCCTGACCTCTAACATGCTTTTTAGCTCACCTTGTTGTGGTCCCACCATCATCTGGTGGACATTTGCAGAGTATCTGTGGAAATCCCTTGCCTCTGCAGTGCAGGCGCTTGGAGTAGGTCAGAAATGAAGCTCTGTGCTTCCCAAACTACATATGTGCCCCCACAGTTCATT